TGCTGTTGTCCTGCAACACCTCTGACTCTCCATCTGGCATTTCCTCGTACTACATTTTACAAAACGTTCGCACATCTTTTCTTTCTCTGAATCCATTGACCGGTCTCATTGTTCATGTTTGATTGGCATAAGTCAGCATATCAGTTTAGCATTTTGCCATCCTTTCATTCATGATCCCTCATGTTTAATCTGTCCATCTTTCGTTTTTCAAACCTTTTTCCGACCCCACTTTCCAAAAAAGGGGGGAAACTCTGAGCACTGCGTAGCCAAAAGGTGAGTACACTTGATTAGAGTTTAGAGTGTTGCAGTCTTTACAGACACATTTTACTGCACTCTCTTTCCTTTCTTGTGTCGTGTGTAAAGCAACAGGTTCTGTATGTACCTCATATATTGGAGAGGACATGACAGCATCAAGAGGAATGCATTGTAGAAACTACTAACTTGTTAGCGTGCATTGTATTGCTTTTATTATGTATAAAAAAACCCCACACATCTCTCTTCCTGTGTTTAACAGTATAAGCTGAATGCTTTTAACATTCAGATTACTGTCAGTGCTTGTTTTTTAGTCCCAGGGTTTAATAGTGTTGAAAAACTTACAGTATTTATATCGTTTTACCTTGTGTGTGGTTACAAAAGGTAAAAACTATATAAATACTGTTCGTTTTATCACACAAACCGCTCGTTTCATGTCTTAGGCCATCAATGTGTACTTACATTTACGAGTCATTGAATCATGTTTAATTTGGACTTCTCTGTGCATGCTCTTTGAGGTGGACCCCATAGACCTCCATTATATGACTGATAGACAGGAACGGTTTGACCTAAAAATATCAAAATTGAAAATACTTTGGAAACAAAGACACTTGGATGCTATTGAGGGAAGCTAAAACATATCAAACCTTAATTTCTAAGTGAACTATCCCTTTAAATGTGTAAAGCTGTGGAATGCATCATGAATCATTGAGCCTAGAGGGTTTACAAGGGTTTGTGCATCTATAGATTGCATATGGGCCTTTAGATATGGGCCTTTAAAGGGATAGTTCGCTCAAAAATGAAGATACTGTCGTCATTTTATCACCCTCTTGTGAATCGAAAATTAAATGACTGACTGACTTCTGTGGAACATAAAAGATGATATTTAAGAAATATCTCAGTGACTGTTTTTGTCCATACAATGAAAGTCAGTCTTAACCAAAACTAGCAGAAGGTCATACAGTTTAGGAATGATTAAATGGTGAGTAAATAATGACAATTTTCAAAAAATTGCAAAACTTGCAAAAAATGATGCAAGTATTCTTCCAGACTGATTAAATTTCTCGCATTTTAAACAAGGTCAACCTTGTGAGAAAATAATAATGTAGATTTTTATTGATATCCGTTTAATCTCTGAATAAGGTGGTTGTCTAATCATAAAATACTCAGTTCAGCAATAGAAAGAAAAATAGGCTTTGACAGGTGCTGTCAGCAAATTGACTGCTAAACCTGTTACACAGATTGCTAAAGAGCTGAAGGACTAAAACGCAATAAACCTCAAATATCTGAGAGCAGCACAAGAATCTAATTTCATCCGAATTGTCTCAGCTTATCTGTCCTGATGTCACATGACGGTTTCAGTGTTTTGGCATTGCATCCATTTTTCCAAAAATGTGTTAACCATTAGTAGTTCTAAAATGCACCTATTTTAAATCCAGACCTGCTAATTGGTATGCATGAGTGTAATGATCCACTGGAGGCAAGTTGTAGCGAGAGAATCCAAGTGCAGTGTTTATTCAAAAATAACATATAAGATCAAAAAAACAATGCATGACGTGGCATGAAACAAATCGTGGACATAGACTTACACAACAGAGGTTACTGGAAACAATACTTGTTTATGATCGAAACGTAATTTTTTTTCAAACATTCATACTATTGTAAAGTCTGAAAAGGGACTATTGTAACCCTTGAAGGACAAGAGAAGGGAGGCTCCGTTTCTGAACTTATAATGGGATTCTGAACGCAAGAACCTATGGTACAAACGCACCAGGAGAACTCACGTGCTCGTTTCTCTCTACCGGCCTTTCCCGAACTCAACACATTAACGTTAATCCAATAACTGCGGGTGCAAAATAAAAACAACAATTATAGAGAGGCTTTGCGCTGATACACTATTAAAACTTATTAATTCAGGTAGGACAGAAGGCCTAGGTGTGAAATGCACGGCCCGCCACTGATACTTGACAAAGACGCATGGCAAACTTGAGGGCTTAAATACACAAGACTAATAACAAGACAAGGGCCACCTGTGAACAATGAAGAGACGATTATCCAATGACCAGACACATGGCAGGATCACATGACAAACAGGGACACGGGACACGGCGTGCCGTGGACGGACCTGGGCCGTGGCGTGGGCAGACCTGGGTGGATCTGGCAGTGGAGGGAGCCAGGGTGGACCAGGCAGTTCAGGTGGCCATGGCAGCCGAGCCTAGTTTGTAACTGAGCTGTATACAAACATTTCAGCTTTAATTTGAGTATAAATATTATATCTGGAAATATATAGCAGATGAATACAATGGCTCTCTTGTTAACTTTAACCTCTAATCTTATAGTGTACCAAATGAGAGTGTTCCCTGTATAGTTTGTAGCATTATTTGGGAGCGTTTTTTTTTTTTTTATTATTATTCTCAAGAAAATCTAGCTATCGGCAGATATTATTATCGTAATGGCAGAGAAATTTAGTATTGGTGCATCTCTAAAATATACCATTCAAATGTTTGGGGTTGGTATATGATTTAGAAAAAAGCTCATGTGCTCATCAATGCTGCATTTATTTGATTAAAAACAGTAATATTATGAAATATTACAATTTAAAATGATTGTTTTCTATTTTAATATATTTTATCTTTCAGAAATCGTTCTAATTTGCTGATTAGAAATTTTTATAGAATGCGATTTCCTGCCCTGTGGAGCGCGATTTTAACATTGGAAGGCACTGTATCAGGTTATTTTTATCTAGAGGTAAAGTTAGTGGTCTGATCTGAATTGAATTTTAAAAATTAGGACAGTTTCAGACAGTTTTCTCAAAATCCCTGTTCCCCTTGGTGTTGACGGCATATATCGCAGCAATTCATATTTTGTCAGAGACTCTAGTAAAGAGTCCAGATTCATCTTTTAAAATTCATCAGTTCATCTTTTAAAATCCAGATTCTTTCAGCTATACTATACAGACCATCTTTTGTGACCAAGTCAACAACCATGTGATGTTTGATACGTGTGGTGTTGCCATTCACGGGACTCTTGCACACAATTAGTAAATACCTTGAGCGTGTATTAATCTGGCTTTCCCACTGTTTACATTTAATTCCCTTTAAACACAAGGCTTAGTGAAGTTGAAGAATGTACCGTTGTCCCCTGAGTTGACTCCGGTATCAGTTCTGAGCAGTGATTTTTCAGCCTCTGCATTGCAGGTCTGGCCTGTGGTTAGAACGCTGTGTAATTTTACAGGTGTTTGTTTTGACGTCACTACATGATCGTATACTGTGTCTTAGTAATGCTTTAAAGTCCATTCTGTCATCAGCTGTTGACTGATGCTCTAAATACTGGACTGTCCCCTTGTGGTATGGGATCAGTCGTTCCGATAAACAAGACTGATCAGATTTCACCAAGCACATAGTGGCCCTTTTACAGCCCTGCCGTTTTCCAATGAATTTGACCCACTAAGATTCTTAGAGTGGGGAAAGCAGGAAGCGAGGAGGCTGTAAGCGGGTATTAGGGGCTGTGACTCCGCAGTGTTGCACAGTGCAGCTGGAGCACGACTCGATGTACTGCTTCGCCTCGGTGGGAGACTCAAACCTGAAACGAAGCCAAGAAGCAGAGAGGAGGTGTGAAGCACGAGTGATTGTTTTGCAGTGCTTACTGCGCTGTTACTTTCTGTTATGGACGTACACTGTGTGTCTTGGTTACACCTGAACGCTTCGCCCTTGGTGTCATAGTGTAAGGTGGACAGTTAATGTAAGTGCTCAAGTGGTTTTTTTCTTACTGTTTTACTATGTTATCTTATTTTAAACCTTGAAATCCCACGTTTTTTGTTAAATAAATGATATTATACTTTCATTACATATAGCACATTTTCATGTTAATTTGATTTTAACACCCCAGATCTCTGTATGGTTATTTTGGTCTGTCTCTCTTCAAAGTTCTCGACTTTTCTGACTCTTTCCAACGATTGAAATCATACAATTACATCATAATATCGTCATAATCTGTTGAAATATTCAAGTCATTATGGTCAAACGAATTTCTGATTATTAACCCTGTTACCACAAGATTTTCACTCTTATTCCTAACAATGTAACAATTCTCTACATTTGTTTTTACAGCATGGCAGGAAGACAAGTCAATTCTTGTTTAATTTTTATCAATTATTACACAAATTGTTCTGTATTTACGCTCGGCATTTAGCCCTGTTACTCACGTTATTGTGAGGGGGGAAAATCACCAAACAAATAAATCCATGGGAACTAACATAAGTTCCTTACTAGCTAGCCCTTTCAGTCTATTACTAGAAAGAAATCACTGGATCAGTTTTCCAAAAATGTATTTATGCATGTCCTAAAGGTTGAATTCTTGAGGTTTATAGTAACCTAACCATCTTCTTAAGTAAAGCATGTTTAGATGGCATCAGCTGGTGATATTGACGAAATGAATTATGAAATGTCTATGGTTTCAAAATGTTTGATATTATAAAAATCTGACTATATTGTGAATGTGATACAACACCCCTACTGTTCATTCTGGGCTGGCTAGATTTTAATTAATTCATTCTTCTTTTAGTTTGTCATGTCATTTTTATTTCATGTTTATTACTGTTATTAATTAATTTTTCACATTCCTTGACATCCCCAACACCTGCCTGTCCAATATTCCATTTCCCATGGTCTTTTATGGCTACATTATGGAGTCCATAAGGAAAGTGTGAAAACTCTGTAATGATGTCCTTGTATCTCTTGTTTTGACAGCTGAAGGCGTCTTTGTGGACGGGACACTTAGAGGGCCAAACAATGGAATGCTCTCTCCTGCCTACACTGCTCAGCACTCTACAGACTGAGGTTAAACGGCTTAGTTAGCAGTGTACCTCTCCCCCAAGAACTCTTTTAACCTGGGGAAAGTTGGAAGAAAAAAGAAACGAGCAAAGGAGAATTTCCTTCGTAGTGCAGCACCTCACTCCAGTTCTTTGTAGTTGGTTGTTTGGCATTCATTTGTAAGCCTTGTGTGAACAAAATCCAAGATGGAAACAGATTCGTACCTGTGGTTGGTCGTGATTGGCTTCATTATAGCCTTCGTCCTGGCATTTTCAGTGGGGGCCAATGACGTGGCAAACTCGTTTGGCACAGCTGTCGGGTCAGGAGTGGTGACGCTACGTCAGGCCTGTATCCTGGCTTCAATATTTGAGACCCTAGGCTCCATGCTCCTTGGTGCCAAAGTTGGGGAAACCATTCGGAAGGGAATTATAGATGTTACTTTATACAATGACACTGTGCCGGTACTGATGGCTGGAGAGGTCAGCGCCATGGTCGGTAAGTAATGACTCGTTTAAAGTTGAAACCTCAGTGTGTCATTTGGAGAAGCTTAGCAAGGCATTTGGTTATTCTTTGAAGGCTACCAGGTTATGGGAGTTATGATTATATTATTGTGAGTTGCTATAGAGTGATTTAGCTGACGCCTGAGTTAAATTAGCTTTATGGGGCACATTTTTGTCTAGACATGTAAAACTGAAAATTAGAACATTGCATGGATGTTTTAAAAGAAGTTGTATAATGAAATCAAACATCTTGTTGGGAGTTCTTTAATGTAAGTTTGCAGTGAATCGCTATATTGTAACAATTTTAATAGTATCCCATCCAGAGACTGTATTGAAGACAGAAGGGAAGAGAACATATGGCTGAAAGACTTTTTTTCTGCTCCTCCTCCCACTCCTTTTCCCGTCTCTTTCAGGGTCTGCGGCTTGGCAGCTCATTGCCTCTTTTCTGAAGTTGCCCATTTCTGGAACTCACTGCATTGTGGGATCAACTATTGGCTTCTCGATGGTTGCTATTGGCACCAAAGGAGTACAGTGGATGCAGTTAGTCAAAATTGGTAAAAAAAAAAAAAAAAAAAAAAAAAAAATCATTATTTGTCATACTATGGTAGTTATTTGATTGCCAGAAAACGTTTTTGTTGTTTTGAGTGCTTAAGGTCAGCCTTTTACTATTTGTTTCTGCTGTCAAATTCCTCTTTTAGTGCACTGTTTTTTACTTAATGCTGCGCTTTGATACACTGTTCAAACATGTAGGGTTAGTACGATTATTTTTTTAAAGCAGTTCTTTATTTTAGCAATGATGCATGAAATGACATCAAAAAATACTTTTCTTTTTAACTTTCTATTTATCAATGAATCCTGGAAAATGTATCATGGTTTCCACAGAAACTATTATGCAGCTCAACTGTTTTCAACTGATAATAATTAGAAAAGTTTCTTGAGCAGCAAATCAGCATAACAGAATGATTTCTGAAGGATCATGTGACACTGAAGATTAAGTAGTAATGCTGAAAATTCAGCTTTACCCCATCACAGGAATAAATTACATTTATACAATATATTCAAATAGAATATACAGCTATTTTAAATTGTAATAACATTTCACAATATTGATCAAATAAATGGAGTCTTTATGAGTGTAAGAAACTTCTTTCATAATAAACATGAAAACCTTAACAACCTCAAATGTTTGAACAGCATGTTCTTATGTATTGTTTCTCTGGAGTAAATTATACCATTTTTGCTATCAATATTCTTGTAACCGAGATCTGTAATGTTGGCCTTTGTGCCTCTAGCTCCATAATGCATAAATTATATTGGAAAGCTATTGATTTAGTAATTGCTGTTTATTTAATGCAGTTGCCTCATGGTTCATCTCCCCTCTGCTGTCTGGCCTGATGTCTGGCCTGCTCTTCTTCATCATCAGATATTTAATTCTCAGCAAGGTGAGTTATGGGTCGACTATTATTACACATGTCTTACATCACCTTAATTCAATGATCTCGTTTTGACAAATTTCTGTCAAAATGAAGGGGGGGAAAGGATCAAAGTACCGAGCTTTAAGTGTTTTTGGCTTTTAATTCACACATGCCATGAACATGAAAGTGCAGTAGAGGCCTTCTCCCAGTCCTTCCGTGTTAAATACCGGTCCATCACTAGTTCTCATTTATATTTACTGTTTAAAATGCATTCAGCTATTTCCAAGTAACAGTGCCTGTGGCTGTTTAGATGGCTTTGACAATAGCTCATCTGTGATGGCACAGGAACTGCTTTACAGTCGACAGCAGTTCATCTTTTAAATGTTAGCCTTGTGTAGGCTCTGCTTCTGTAAACACTTAAATATTTAATCCTTAAAGAGTTAGGAGCTGGGAAATGCATTCTTACCAGTGGCCACATAAGTACAGTGGTTTAAAGGAACAGTTCACCCGAAACTCATATATATTGCTTTGTGTGAGGAATTATAGAGATGTATATATATTTTTAAAGTTTCTTAGTTTTTAAGTTTAAAAAATATATATTTTTAATATACACTGAAAATAGACCCACACGAACAGTGTACATTTTAGGACATCCTCAGACAAATGAAGACAAGGCATCATGGCTCAGGCTAAAACGCTTCAGTCATTGGACAAAATGTCATTGTGTCTCAGACTGAAAAGCTTCAGGTCTCAGGAAAAATAATGTCAGGTCTCGTACAATTAGACTCGGATGAAACAGCCTCAAACAAAAAGGCATCAGACATCAGAGTAATTCTCAATTTATCCAGATTCGTGCAGCCATAACTCAAAATGTTCTTCTCTGCAAAGCTCAGAAATAGGTTATTTTCTTCTTCTTTTTTTGGTAGTTTGGATGCTTAACCCAACCTTCATTGTATGGAAAAGAGCAACTTGGACATTTTTCCTGTTAAATAATAAATCAAATATTCGTTTTCTGGGTTTACTATCCTTTTAAGAAAGTATTAAAATCAGTTTTGTTATTGTTGACTAAAACTAATTGGATTCGAATAACTAATTGGAATAAAGCTAAAATAAAATATAAATATTAGATTTAAAAAAATTAAAATGAAAATTAGAGATGTTGACATGACAACTAACTAATATGTTTAAGCTGATGTACTAAAATTGCTAAATAGAACAAAATATTAATTAATACTGTAATACTATATAAATATTACTATAACACTGATTTAAATGTGCTACTCTTAAATTATGACCAACAATGGAGCTAAAAAATATTGCAACTACTTTTTATTTAAGAATGACAGTGACTTTAATGTACAAACAAAAGAAACGAACGTTAAATGTAACTTTGGAAATGTTTTGTCTTTATTCATAACATTTGTGTAGCTTTAAACTGAGTTGAAGCTCTTTCTGCTATCTGTCCATTACAGGATGACCCTGTTCCCAATGGTCTCCGCGCTTTGCCCCTCTTCTACGCTTCGACCATAGGAATCAACACCTTCTCCATCATGTACACTGGAGCTCCCTGTAAGTCAGTGTTGAAATGATGTCACATTCACCCGAGAGACGTCCTTGATCTGCCTTGAGTTTGCTTGTTGTCACTGAATAAGTGTCATTAAAGAGGCCACATTGTATTTCCACATAAAATGCATTTTCTTTCAGAATATATTCACTTGATTGTTTATAAATCTCACAGCAAAGTTTTAAGATGTGTGTGTGACCGTGTGACTCTCTTCCTTTTTTGTGCAGTACTGGGCTTGGAGATGCTCCCCGTCTGGGCTATTGCCCTCATTACCTTGGCTGGCGCTGTGGTATGTGCCGGTGTGGTCTGGTTTTTTGTTTGCCCCTGGATGAGAAGAAAAATAGCAAGTACGTACTGTCCTCTTTCCCTCCCGCAGAGTAGTGGCTTTGAAGGGTTAGTTCACCCAAATATCAAAATTCTGTCAATAATTACTCACTCTCATGTTGTTCCAACCCTGTAAGACTTTCGTTCATCTTCGGAACACAAATTAAGATATTTTTGATTAAATCTGAGAGCTGGATCACTCCTCCATAGGCTTCTTAAGGGATCTGAACTGGCCTTTAAAGGGTTAGTTCACCCAAAAATGAAAATTCTGTCAGTATTTACTCACCCTCATGCTGTTCCAAACCTCTATGTGTTTATTTGTTCTGCTGAACACAAAGGAAGATATTTGGAAGAATGTTTTAATCAAACAGATCTCATTCCCCATTGACTTCCATAGTAGGAATACTAAGGTAGTCAATGGGGAATGAGATCTCATAAAAATTGGAAAGAAATCCAAGTCCAGGCACTCAGGGTTACAAAAGTGAAAAAGGCCTTTATTAAACAATCGAGGGCTAAACCATTAAAAAGCACCAACGCGTATCGGCACACTGGCCTTCATCAGGGTGTTGGTAACAAAAAGACAGAATCAAGCAATACTTATGGTTGAATTGGTTCCAGGTGTGCCACTCAAGCCCTTGTAACACAAGTTTTGGCCACTAGAGGCAATTATTCGGGACATGTCTACTGTCAGAAGTTAAAACATACAAGTGCAAAGCTCGAGGTGGAAAAGATAGGAGTGACACCACAAAAAGAATCTAGTGTAGCCCACACAACACGTAATAAATGTAATTAAATGTGAATGGGCTGTTTACCCATCACAATTCCAATGTCAAAGTCAATATGGTTCTAAAAAACATTAACAGAAAATGGCATCACATTCAAAAACTAGTAAAAACACTGTACCCATAAAAGCACAATAATTACAAAAAGGGTGAAAGGTCAAAATCTTCATTGACGCCTGGATGACTAGTGGCTCTCAGAGAATAGATCCAATATGTCTCCCTTTGTTTAAGGCGTTTTATTATGTCCCCACCTCTGGAATCAAGGCGATCAGCCTCAATGCCCACTACTCGTAAGGTCGAATCACTTCCATGTTTAGCGTCTATATAGTGTTTGGCCATTGGATAGTTCATATTTCCAGTCCGGATGGCATACCTATGCTCAGCTACCCTGTCTCTTAATCTCCTTTTAGTAAGACCTATATAAAAACAGCCACAAGTGCACTCTAATCGATAAACAACATGGGTGGTATTGCAATTTATGAAACTTTTAACAGTGTAAGTCTTATTACTGGAAACATCCATAAATATATCAGATTTCACCATATTCTCACAATAATTACAGTTACCACAAGGAAAATTCCCCTAGGTTGACGAAGCCAAATTTCACGTTTAGGAGCAGGGAGGTAACTTCTTACTAACTTGTCTTTAATTGTGGGGGCCCTCCTAAAACTAATCCCAGGTGGTTCCGAGAATATTTCCCGTAGAGTCGGGTCACATTCAATAATGTTCCAGTTTTTCTTTATAATGCGTTTAATCTGAATAGCCTCTTTACTGTAATTAGTGACAAAGTAGGGTTTTTGAGTCGACAATATTTTGGGTCTAGACTGAAGCAGGTTCTTTCTTTCAAGTGATTGAGCTCTATTATGAGCTTGAATGAGAGTTTGTGTTCGATAACCTCTTTGTCGAAAACGCTGCTGAATATCCATAGATTGATGTTGGAAATCCTGATCTGAATCGCATATACGTCTTAGTCTCTGGATCTGTCCAAAGGGTATGTTGTCAATGAGCCATGGGGGATGAAAACTATTAGCATGCAGTAAGGTATTGCGATCTGTTGCTTTTCTAAGGATAGATGTATGCAAGAATCCCTCATCATCCTTTGAAATCCGTAGATCAAGAAAGTTAAGAAATGACTTTCTTGGGGAATGAGATCTGTTTGATTAAAACATTCTTCCAAATATCGTCCTTTGTGTACAGCAGAACAAATAAACACATAGAGGTTTGGAACAACATGAGGGTGAGTAAATACTGACAGAATTTTCATTTTTGGGTGAACTAACCCTTTAAGATCTAAACTTAAAGTGTCTGTGTTAGGTCTCTGTTCCGTTTGTCCTAAATGCTCTATTTCTTTTCCGATTAGGAATCAATTATCTGAGGACAATTACTAAGTACATTTGCAGAAATTGTGTGTTCCACATGTTTGTGCACTTGACATCTGGCCATTAAGTTAGATGTTATTTCTAATCTAGCTTTGGAAAAAGTCAAAGATGTGAATCAGCATGAGGTATCTTCACCAGATCAGGAGGGGAAGGAATTGCCTAACATCTGCTGCTCTGCTGGGGCGCTCTGTAATGTAAAGACTCTCTTTTGCTGGCTCTGGCTTGTGGGCCCATGTTGCGTTCGACTGATGAGAAGCAAATAAACTGAAGCTGTTTATTTGAAAACAACACCATTTTTTTCAGATGAGTCACACGGACATTGTGCAGTCACTGTACCTTTCTCAATGCAAGATCAGCTGCCCACGTGTTTTGATTGAGAGAAGTGCCTTAATGAAATGAATCACTAATGAAATGTTATGTTAAAGCACTGCTTTCACTCAAGGATCAGCGCTTTGTTGAATTGATGCATGCTTTATTGAATTTGTTTTCAGATCAAGGGTCTATTTCATGGTGTCCCATGTGAGATCTGATTTATTAACCTTTTGAGAAGGATCAGTTTTATGAGTAAAGAGCAAATTAGCATTAAATATGAGGGACACTAATATAAAGTGCTTGTTGTTCATTGTCACTGCTCGATTTTAAAGAGCCAGTTTGTAATCATACCAATATCACAGTTTTTCACGCACAGATTATCCATGTTTATCAGTGATTATGTTTTCTTTCTTGTTTTTCTCACTGTAATCTTGTAAATGCTGCTTTTAATTTTCAGCTTTTCACCAGTTCCACAAAGCTTGCCTAATAACTCCCCTCTCCCCGTCTGTTCGGAAAACAACATTTCTGTTGATTGGGGATGCACCAATATTAAAATTCTGGCCAATGCAGCGAATATTCTATATGATTTTGTCTAAAAAGACTACCATTAAAAGGTTTGGGGTCAGTTAGATTATTTTTTTTAAAACACCATTTATTTGAAATATAAATCTTTTGTAACATTATAAGTGTCTTTACTGTCACTTTTTAAAGAATCCTGAAAATTGTATCATGATTTCCACAAAAAAAATATTGTGCATCACAATCTGTTTTGAAGAAAATTATAATTATAACAAATGATTCTTGAGCACCAAATCAACAACGATTTCTGATGGATCATGATATCTCAGGAATATATATTTTACATATATTTTAAAAATAGTAAACAGTTTTTTTTAAGTTCATATTTTTGTAGTAATATTAATCTTGCCGACTCCAAACCGTTGAATGATAGAGCAAATTTAAAATAAAACAGTAAAACAAAAATAAATCTTTCAAATTGTACATTATATTGTTCAGTATTAAAAAAATGTTATTTGAAAAGATTACCAGTACTATTGTTTTTTAAAGATTACCATATTTTCTGGTAAATTAAGTCACATCTGACTGTCACACCCGGTTAAAATTGCATTAAGAGGAAAAACACCACAGATAAAATATAATCCACATTTTATTATAGCATTCAGAAATAATGTAAAATACTGGTGGAACATTTATTTATTTTTACAAACATTATAGACACTTTATACATGCGTTTTAATTCCCCTTACTCCACAACAAATTTACATTTACATTTAACAGTATTCAGAACAGAAAATGAATGAAAAGTATCAAGTATTAAACAAATAAATTAAAGTGACATTCATTCTAATAAACATTTATTATAAATTACAAGCCTAGACAAATTTATTTAAAGCAAAACTGCAACTACCAGCGTTTGGGATGTCCGCTATACAAATAAACTTGGACTTGCATACCTTTCTCCTTCAGGACAAATCTAAATGTTTTGCGTGCTTGAAGTGCATATTATATAAGTTGCTTTGAAATATTACTTACAGCATATTTCAGATGATTAAAAAAAAAATGTTAAAATTTAAAAATACGGTATCTCAGTGAGTGTGAGATGGTTACAATGTAAATTTAACAATTACAGAAATGAGCATGCAAAACAAATATCCAATATGGTATAGGTATACGATCATTAAAATATTGGGCGTTAACCAATATATTGTGCATCCCTAGATTCCCTACCTAATTTTGATACCTTTCTTTTAATTGATTTCCTACTTTTTACCCCCTAAACAGGTCGCCTGAAGAAAGAGCACGCTCTTTCCCGCATCTCTGATGAGAGTTTGGATAAAATTCCGGAGGAGGAAGAGGAAGCCCCCGTGTTTAAAGAGCTCCCAGGTGCGAAAAACAGCAACGATGCTGTGCTGCCCTTGACCGAGGAGTCCACAGGGGAGCTGAACAGTCTGGCTAATGGAGGCACTGTTCTCCCCAACGGCAGAGTGTATGGTACGTAAAAGGATGTGTGTTATTTTGTTTTTAATGGGTTCTATCTGAAAAAAATGTCCTGCACTGACCTGATATGTTTGTTTTTTTAATGTCAGGCCGTACCAACTCCATGACCAACGGCTGCCTCAAGTCACCCATTTCCAATGGGGGATTCAGCTTTGACGGACACATGCGCAGCGACGGCCAGGTCTATCACACTGTTCACAAGGACTCTGGTCTTTACAAGGATCTCCTACACAAGATCCACCTGGGCCGCCTGGAGGACGAGCGCAGCGCCTCGCGTGCCGACAACAACTACCGCCACCTTCGCCGCAACAACAGCTACACGTGCTACACAGCAGCCATCTGCGGCATGCCGATGACACCCTTGATACGCTCGGAGTCCAGCGCCCCTCCTCCAGAGGACAGCGAGAAGTTAGTGGGCGACACCGTCTTCTATTCCAAGAAGCGATTGCGGTATGACAGCTACTCCAGCTACTGTAACGCGGTCGCGGAGGCCGAGATTGAAGCGGAGGAAGGTGATGTGGATGTGAAGTTGGCAGCCGATAAAAGGGAGCCCCTTGCCCCTCCTGAAGGTGTGGAGGACGGCATTGATGAGGAAAAGGAAGAGAAGGACAATGCTCAAGTCTACCTGCTCTTCCACTTCCTGCAAATCCTCACCGCCTGTTTCGGATCGTTTGCGCACGGGGGGAATGATGTCAGGTATGCCACTTGATGTCGTTTTTCAGATTCTTTTTCCTACGACAGGCGTTTCTTATGTTTCAGTATGCTTTTGAGAAACTTCAGCATTTTTGCGTTTTGGTATGCTTTGTGATTAGCGAGTTCAGAATAAGACCTACTGTATTTGCATAGTTTTTTCACATTCCACAGCATTAGTGTGTCCTGAGAACAAGCCCTCAGTTGAGTGCCACAGATCTGGTTCACGGATCTACAGATGATTTGGCACATACCCAGACTGTTAAGACGTGAGATGTGGCAATGTGTTCAGGCTAACTTCAGCTGCTTAATAACTTAATAAACAGTTAACATCTTATAAAGAGAGAGTACTGGTCAAAAGTTTGGAAACATTAACATTTTTAATGTTTTTCAAAGTAGTCTCTTATGCTCATCAAGCCTTGAGTGGGGGACAGAAGGGGGTGACTCTGGGACGCCAGAGTCACTGTCGAGCCCTCTTGAGGTGTCGTGGGTTAGTCGGCAAAACACTGAGGATGGAAGGTGCCCACTTGAAGACCCTAGAGATGTCCCCTACTCACAACCTATGGTTGTGGTGCTGGTCCATTAGAGAGATCACGGTGTTGTTGCAGCCGTTGTGTGTGCGCTGACGCGCCGGACAGAAGTAGAGTCACATCACCATATAAAGAAGCGTAAATGGATGGAGAAGCATAGTTTACTGTAAAGCTACGTCTTAGTTTGTGCTTATCTTGGCGAAAGCCGAGTACAAATCAGCATGAAGTTTTAACATCTACTCTCGTGTATAAACAAATGTCTGTAGAGAAGCGCTTCCTTGACTCAAGTGTAGAAGTTTGAGGTGCTCTTTGGATAGGAAAAAACATATATAAATAAACAGGAACATGGCACTCTCTTTAGAAAAGTTAAAAAGCCTTTATTACTATGGCTTGGACTCCCGGACGAAGGCTTGTATGCCAAAACGCGTCGGAGTGTTTTTAGTGTTGAGCCATAGTAATAAAGGCTTTTTAACTTTTCTAAAGAGAGTGCCTTGGATGTTCCTGTTTATTTATCTACTCTCGTGTAATGGAAATCATTCATCAGCCATTACTCCAGTCTTTAGTGTCACATGATCATTTAGAAATCATTCTAAAATGCTGATTTGATGCTCAGTTATCATCCATTTTGGAAACAGTTGTGCTGCTTAATATAAATATTTTTTTATAAGTGATACTTTTTAAGGATTCATTGATGAATTAAAAGTTAAAGAACAATTTATTCAAAATCCTTTCTAACAATATGAATATTTACTTTTTTATCAGTTTAACACGTCTTTGCTGAATAAAAGTAAAATTAAAAAAAGAAAGAAATTACTGACTTCAAACTTTTGAATGTTGGTAGTTACAAAATATTTCTATTTTAAGTAAATGCTGTTCTTTTTTAAACTTTTTATCATCAAAGAATCCTGGGAACAGTATCACAGATTATATATATATATTTTTTCCAAATTAATAAATCAGCATATTAAAATTATTTCTGAAGGGTAATGTCACACTAAAGACTGGAATATAGGCTGATTAAAATTCAGCTTTGTATCACAGAAATAAACTATTTACAGTGTATTAAAATAGAAAAACATTATTTTTTTATCAAGTAAATGCTGACTGACAAAAACATAAAAAAAATGTAATGTTTCTAAACTTTTGACCTGTACTGTGTTTATGTATATATAAAATACATATAAAAAAACTGAAAATGTAGTACTAATAGTTCATTATACTATATTTAATAGTAATTATATTTCATTGTGCATTTATATAATTTAGAAATTCATTTAAAAAAATGGCCACTTCTGCTAGCACAAAATATGATGCTGTAAAAGATGATGAAATAATAGACACATTAATAAATCTTACCTACCCAAACTTGAACTGTAGGCCCTTAATTAAAACTTAACTAAAAAAAGTAATCATGATCAAGCAGAGTTAAAGCAATATGTTGATTTAAAGACCGCATGGCTTAATCTCTATACAGTTTGTATTCTCATTGTATTAATTTTCACATGGGAACATGTTTGTTTTGTCTTTTCTACAGTAATGCAATTGGTCCTTTGGTGGCCCTGTGGCTGATTTACGACCAGGGTGGGGTGATGCAGGAAGCGGCCACACCGATCTGGCTGTTGTTCTATGGCGGCTTGGGAATCTGTGCTGGTTTGTGGGTTTGGGGTCGACGTGTCATTCAGACAATGGGCAAAGACCTCACTCCCATCACCCCCTCCAGGTGAGATCTGCTTTTTGGCAGAGATGTGGCATGACGTTTGTGCATGATGATTGGTGTGTGTGTGCTTCTGTTGCATGCAGATGTAATGGTTAATCCAGTGGTGTAAGAAGTCTTCCTAAAGGAACAGTTTACCCAAAAATGTTGATTACCCCATGATTTACACACCATCAAGCTATCCTAGGTCTATATGAGTTTCTTCATTCAGACGAATACAATTGAAGTTATATTAAAAATATCCTGGCTCTTCCAAGTTTTATAATGACAGCCAGGGCCAGGGGAAGACAATCCTGAGCTCTGGGCAAAAAAGGAATATGCCGGCCCCTACGTTCAAATTTTTAAGAGAAAAAATGCAATTTGGGGGGGGGGGGCTATTTCCAAAAAAAGTGGAGTATCCCTTTAAGTAATTCATACGGCTCCGGGGGTTAATAAAAACCTTCTGAAACGATGCGTTTGTATAAGAAAAAAACCCATATTTAAAACTTAAATATCTTAACTAAAATAACTAGCTTCCAATTATTACCTTTTTTCTCTTTAATATTTTAAGTGGCAGGAATTTTAGTGAAAAAAATCCCATTGAATTACAACTTTAATAATGTAGCATGAATAATGTAGTATGGTTGCTAATTATGTAGCATTATAGCGAATAGCATTGTTAATTTTAATAAAGAAATTATAGTTACAACAATCATTAACAAAAAAGGAAAATTCATTAAACTTAATTGTGATTATGTCATTTTTAGAATTAAAATCGTATCATTTGTAAATTATTTTGATATGCTCGCAAATTAGCAGTTTCTGGAGATATGTGTTGGTTACTGTAATTGTTTCACAGTGAAGGGTCACTGACATTCCAGTATATACTAAGTGAGTGTGGATCAGGTGGCCATGTTCCCAGCCATGTTCCCTCGCATAGCTCACAAAAATAACAATCAGCATGATCTCAGCATCAAAGTAGATTGTGGTTCCTGGGTAGACAACGAAGACCATAGGCTGGCATTATGCAAATTTGTTACAAACCTAAATAGATTTGTGCAGGATTTAAGACTGTAATTACTGATGACACGTTTCTGGCAGAATAGATTCTTTCTTTTGGGAGACAATGACTCCATTTATTTGCTTTTTGAAACTTCTCAGACCTTTTTACATTCTCGAACAGCTATAGCACACACTGCATGACAGATAATATCCGAAAGAGCATAATAGGGGCACTTTACCCTGGTAATAATGCAAGGAGATAGTGAACTATGCATTATTTCAAAACTCGCAGTTTAGATGGGTTTGCATGATTTTGTGGATGGTTTGTCTGCTTGTTTGTTCACAGTGCTTATCTTACCCACGTGTTCCTGCTGTCTGTGTGTGTTTTAAGAGGCCACAGGAGAGTTTATTAGCACAATTTCAGCACAACCATAATCACCAGACGGCTGCTGCTGTTTCCACCTGCATGCATATACACACACACACACACGTTTACTCTCTCACCCACACATTTCATAGGCAAATACTCTCAGAAAACCTGTCAACCCTGTTTTCTTGTTACTAAACACCACCTTCATCTCCTCTTGGACTTCTTGCACGCCTGTTGAAATGTTTCTGCTCCTCTAGACCCGCGTGCTGTACGTGTGTACCAGCCTTTCTCAGTGGCATGAATTGTCATAACTGGTTTAACTGCAGGTGTAACTGTATAAAGTTGTGTTCTGTTGCCCTCCCCCCGCAGTGGATTCACTATTGAACTGGCCTCCGCACTCACTGTTGTTTTGGCGTCCAATATCGGACTTCCAATCAGTACGACACACTGCAAGGTAAAGATTGGGTCAGAACCCAGCTGGCCCCCTCGGGTTGTTGTGTGCATGCCACCGGAGAGAGGAGGGAGCCGTCTGTTTTTACAGGAAACAAGAGCCAAAAACAGCTTTCAGCATATGATGCTGTTGTGGATCACAAATAATGATGAACAGCAGCACTTGACACCCTATAAAATGGTGTGCTGTCCAGCTACAATAAACGCACAAATCACATGTACTTAGAAAAATTATTAGATAACATAAAATGAACATGGTTTTGAGTTTCAAAATGAATCCTGTATATATTAACAATTAAAATCATACAATGATAGAATTTTACAAGTAGAAGATTCTTATTTAGCTTGAATTACCACAAGCATAATTAATTCTTAATAAATATATACTAGACTATGACTAGACTATAATAAATTAGACTTTTATTTTTGCATTCCTCCATTGTACCCTATTAAAGTTAATGTAGTGTAAGAAGAATTTGTTTCAATACTTTTCTTTTATTTATGTAAAAAATATAGTTTAGAATATATAAGTTGATCAATAATCAGTGTTATTTAACTAAAACTATTAAAAATAGACTTAGATATTAGAAATGCTGTCTCGGGAACTAACTCAAGTTGAAATGCTAAATTGACAAACTAAAACAAAAGCATATAATAAAATGACTAAAACTTCAACTAAAATTAAAATGACAGCTGAAAATATAAAAATAAATATTATAATAGTATATGAATAATACTGAAATACCTTGGTCAATAACTACCAACAAACATTGTCTTATTCTTATTTAAATTATTTGTTTAAATTATGAAATTGATTTTTTCTTTTGATAAATCACATTGATAGGCATAACTTAGACAAAATGACCTACGTTTTAGCAACAGGTTGAAAACAAATCTCCAAAACGTATATACAAATATCAAATAAAGCATCTCATATAATATGTTGTTTTACCACCTGAAGTGGATGAGCAACATTTTCTGAAGGTTAAGCACCTATTTTTTACTGGCATTTGTTGCATTTTTTCTAGGTTCCTAGGTTCTCTGATGTGAGTCACCCAGTTACTGATGTCAATGGCTTAGTCACTGTTTTTGATGGTTATAAATCAGCTTTAGTGCACACTGATGTCAATCCTGGTACAATGAACCTTCTCATCAAGGCTAAGACGGCTCTCTCAGACCCTTTAGAAATGAAGACGAGCGCTCCCTCTTCTCTCGCACGTGGGCTTGTTGCATACAGAATGAAATAACTCTGTCTTCTCTTCACAGATGTGTGTTTAAGTGATGCTTCACCACATCATCTCTTTGTCCCCTCCTCATCTGTCTCATGGCATGTCGCTGTGTATTTGTCCACGTATGCTCGGGGCCACTGGTGTCTTGCTCCATGCTATGCCTGTCTCTTACATTTTATCTGTTGTTTGTCTTTGTCTTGTCATTTGTCACAGTGGATTTTGCATTGAAGTAATGAGCGCTCTAACCGTGCTTGTTGCCTCAAATGTGGGCGTTCCTATAAGCTCCACCCACTGCAAGGTATTGGTATAGTAGTGAAGCTTTGGTAGTGCTAAACTCCACCCCATAGCTTCACTAGCATAATCACCGAACAGCCAATCAGTGCTCACCTCTGCAAAACATGTCACTCCATGATTGCAGCTTTGATTCACTTTTTTGATTCATTCTTTTTTCATCTACTAAGTTGTTTGAAAGAAAAGGCAGTAATCAAAGTCTTTGTTTTTTAAAGTTGCTGTGTAGTGCATACATTGTAGTTGAGACACTAAACGTGTTAACCACACCATGTCACTTGCAGTTTCCTCATTACCATAGGTCAGCAGCCTGAACTGTTCAGTCAGCCAAAACTTGACTGTTCAGCAACCTCGCCTATAGTCAAAAATCGAAACAAAAATACGGCTATTTACTTAGTTGCTATACAAATCCCTGGAGTGGACATGAGCTGACCTCTATGTGTTCTCTATTCTCTTGCGTGTGCTTTTTGTAGGGGGCTCTGGGATGCTTTGTAATTCAAAAGCATGTTTGGCTTCATTCTACTCCATGACCTCAATTCAGATTTATAAACATCTTGTAAAATCTTTCCAGTGCTTTAAAAGCTGGCTTAAGGCTAATTTGGATTAGGGCTGTCAATTTAACATGTTAACAGTTTGGATTAGCGCTTTCAATTTTATTGTTAACTCTTTCCCCGGCAGTGTTTTTGAAAAAAGTGGCTATCATTTTCAAATTACTTTCATGGCTTTTATTTTTGTTAAAACCATAGAAAAATGTGAGTGTTCTTTAGGCTGATGATTTTTGTTCGTGGAAATCTGCTGCAACAAAAAGTTTACTGCAATCAAATCCGGGAATCGATAAGCAGGATCAGAATCGCTTAAATTCAACCCAATACCCAACTCTATATCCAACAGTTAAATGTTTAAATGCAGAATTTATGAATCCAGTGTTATTTTACTATTATTTATAAATGATTGTAGTATTTATTATATTGTTTGTATTCATATTTTTAATTATTTCTAATTTTTTCAATTTTCATTTTAGATTGTTTTAGTAATTTGTGTGCTTTTGTCATTTTTATTAATTTCCCCCTTTTTTTCCTTTTTCATCTAATATTTATATTTTATTTTATTTAAATTTTATTTCAATATTGAAAATGAGTTTTAGTTTTAAGGTAACAATAACACTGCCATTGACTAGCAGCTCAATTTAGTTTTATCCATTCATCCATTATGGGGTTAAGCACATTTTATTTATTTTTTTATCAATTGACAGCCCTAGTTTGGGTATTCAAATTATCAGCATTACTTTTGGGAATGTGTTGCTTGTGTCATAGCATCCAAAATATGAGTTGCCAGGCCGTTCAGGCAGTAAGTTTTGTGCATTAAAGCCACCTATATTGGATAATTTTAAAACCGTAACAAACACTTGTCAGCTGTGGAGGAGTCTCATCTTCATCAGGTGTATATTGATTAAAACCTCAAGAAACTGAGTTGCTTGTTTGCTAAACAAATGATACCACCAAATTCACAGAAAGGTCTTGATACTTGTCTTGAATTTGTGGATTAGTTGCATGGCCAACAGGTTACATCCAAGTTTGCATAGTTCAAGGGGTTTAAAGGTTGAAGAAAGTCATGGGAGAATTAAAGGCCCGAAGTCTTTTATTCTCTGTTGTTGACTTTGGGTTGACTTTTGCTCCAGATTTAGTCCCCCCTGTGACGGAGGCTTCGGTTACAATGACCGTATAAGAACAGCCAGATCGCTCTTGTATCTAGCACAACACCTGTCACCAGCACCCCTGAGTCACACAGCATGTATGGAAATGTTACTCCTCCCGCTGCCCTGTGGTAGGCAGGACATGACATGACTTTACCTTTCAAGCAAAAGGAGAACGTGGCTAATACAGTGCAGAATAATGGCTTTTTTAAAAGCACTGGACACTAGGTCTGAATTGTAATTTACTGAGGATTGACCTGGCATTTATAAAGGAAAAGAAAGCTTAATTTCAAACCATGTGGTACTTTGTGTCCTCTAACTAACCACTGCCCCCCAGTACTTAACAAAATACATGGATTTGATTATTAATTGTGCTATGTCAGTGTATTCAGGAGACATATTAAGCACATGACCCTATGAAATCAAAATTGGAGTTTTCAGGCTTTTAGCTCATGTCTGTTAGCTTTGAAGCCATGTATTGCTAGTCAGAGCTTTTTGTTTGCTAAAATGCTCTCTATAATATATAATTGTGTGAATATTCCCTATATATTCGTGGTGGCAATGTAAAATGTGATCCATATAGTAATAATTTTTGCTGGCTTTCTGAACATTCAGTTTGCTAAAGACAAGCCTGGTTTCCATTAAAGATTTGTGCAGAACTTTTGCGATAATTGCTTTGTTTCCATTAAACCGATGTCATGCGTTATCCTCACGATAAGTCATTCCAAACATCATGGCAACTGATGTTGTTAGGTGTACGGACATAAAACCCAATTAAAATACAATTGAACAAACCAAATTTATAATTGAATAAAACAAAATGTAACCTAATTTAAATCTGCTCATCATATAAAAAAAAAAAATCTGGTACCTTCAGAAGACTTGGATTAAATTGCTTTATTCATATGATGTGGTTGAAGTGACACAACCACAAAAAACAATCGACAAAAAATATCTGCATTTGTTTTTCAAAGATTAACGAAAGTCTTACCTATTTGGAATGACGTGAGAGTGAGTAAATGATGACCGAATTTTCTGTTTTGGGCGAACTATGCCTTCAAATATAATTTCTGTATTGTAAATATTGTGAAATATTATATCTTGGTATATTTCAGTCTGTTAACAAGAAGATGTCTCAATTTCTAAGCTATGTTGCCCCCAGTGCTTTTGTTTTGACCAACTAATAATAATGTGGTGAAAACTTAAATATGCACCAATATAACGTCCCGATTCAACAGGACATAAAACTATGATTGTGATTTCATGGGGTCTTTCAAAAGCCTTCAGGAATAACAAAATACATTCCATAGATATTGTATCCCTAGTTCCCCATATCTGAAAGATGAAATCCATGTTTTATTGCTTTCATTTCATGTTTGTGTATCGTGCTACTGCTGATTTTGCTTCTGCTGTGGGTGCAGGTGGGCTCAGTGGTGGCCGTGGGCTGGATCCGCTCTAAGAAGGCTGTGGACTGGCGTCTCTTCCGGAACATCTTCCTGGCCTGGTTTGTCACTGTTCCTTTAGCAGGCCTCTTCAGCGCTGCTGTCATGGCCCTGTTCGTCTACGGCATACTACCTTACGTCTGAGATGGGAAATGGAGAAGAGAGAAGGAGGTATAGGAGGGTAATGATGAAAAAATAAAGCAGAGACAGAAACAACAACAACAACAACAACAAAAAAAAATTTAAAAATGATATAAGGGGACAACCAGAGGGTAGAGAGAGTCTTCAAATGCTGCCTGGGAAAGCGTCCAGAATCCTTTGACTTAAATATCCTTAATCTTGTCAAGAGTATTTATTTCCGTTTCATTTTTTTTCTCATTGTTTTGTTGAAATGTTACCATAAACCACAAGTCAAGGTTCCAAAAAATAGTTCTTGTACATCTGTGGTCCTACATGTTCAAAAGGAGTAGACAGAACTGGACAGATGTGCACAAACTGCCAATCTCACATAAAATATCAGTACATAAGGAACGGGACTTTTATGGCACAATTCACAGTATATTGGCACAAAATATAGTTAACTATTCCTGGGCCTCTAAATGTAATGTTTTGAAATATGCCGTGTGTGGTGTGTTATAACCGCACCTTTATTGCCATTCGCTGAAACATCAAACTTCTGCGTAAATGACACTGAGAAGCATCCTGCTGTTCAAAACCTACGTTAATCATACCTCAGTCAATTCTCTATGCCACATAAAAGACAAGTGACAAAACTGTGCTATCTCATAATACATGACATATTATAAGATTTATAAATTTTTGGGTGGAGAATGTGCAAGAATTCCCTGTTCTTTTATTGTTGTATTTATTTTTCGATATGTTACCGTTCAGACTTTTTTTTTTTTTTTAAAACAAAGGTTTTGAACTATGTATACTACTATAATTTCTACTGTGTATATATTCAGCTTTGGATTTTAGATTTTTAGTTATGTCTTATTTCGAGGTCTTATATTGTTACATGTAAGGAGACTTTAGACCAGGTTTGGTAGTTGCATGAAACGTATGCTCTTCCAAGCATATGAAAATGATCAAATATGAAAGATTTAATTTCCTATGACAAGACGCTACATTCATAATCCTGTTAGGGTATTTCGAGAATAACTTCAAAATGATTTACCATTTTTTTTTTTTCTCCAATCGACTAACCTAGAAGATTCCCATGTCAGTGAAAAGTTAGGAATTCACCAAACTTAACGAGGGGATAAAGAAACATATCTGAGGTATTAAATGTAAACTTTTTTTAATCCATACACATCAATAGGTGATTTGAACTCATTTGATTTGATTCCCTTTTTGGAAAATAGCCAAAGATTCTGATGGTCAAGTTTAATTGCCAAACTCTTTGACGGTGTTTGTAATTATAACAATCTAAATGATGTCCAAACAAAAGAGATCCGTTTATCTCTGTATTGCGGAAAGTATATAAAGGATGCTAGTAGTTCTGTCTAGCCCTGGTATAAAATGGTCTTCGAGCCCAATGGAAGATGCCAATATAAAAACCTGTATGTGCCGGAACAGCCAAAATCCCCTAACGGGCCCTTGGGTGAACCCATTAATCCAGCACAAACACACAAACGTAGATTTAACCAGTTCACATAGATGTATTTTTTTTTTTTTTTTTTGGGGAGGCAGTATTAGATGCTGGGGTCTGGCTATCGGTGAATCTCACATCAGCATCCAGTTACTTGATTCAGCCTCACTGATAAAGCCTTCAGTACTGATATCACATTGAGCTTTATCAGAAGAGGAACTTTTTTTAACATCAGGTCAAGATGTAACAACATATTTGTGGCCCTGACACCACAAGAAACCAAAAAGTCTCATGATTTCCGTCCAAAAAAATGATCATGGTATATCAGCTGAACTGAGCTTAGATGTTTGTCAGACACCATTGTAATCTGCCTCGGGATAGTCACCTGATTTGGAAACTGTACAAACGTGTGGCTTATAACCAATGCAAAGTGTTGCTGTTTCTTTTTGTGTGTGTGTGTGTATTAATTTTGTTTTTATTTTTCATCAAGAACAAATCTATGCTTAAATGGCCATTTGCCTTGTAATGTTGTGCTTTACCGTTTGTTGGATACAGTAACTTCAGTACTGTGGTGTTTACATTGTAATCATATTGTAGAATAACTTGCCTAAATATGCCAATCAACTAACTAATAATCACAAATTAAATATGAAATAACCAGGCATAGTGCAAAGGTGTTTCATGTCATTTTGTGTTTTAGCAGTGTGATCCATCATGATCCTGTGTTACTCACACTGCTATTTGTAGTACACAACTTTACATGGTGGATAAGATTTAAAAAAAGAAAAAAAAAAAGAGAGAAATGAATAGATATATAAATTTCATTAAACTATATTTTTCTACATATATAAGTTTTACCTAGGTGGCGACTTCTTACGTGGAGAGTAAACTGGGCTCCTGAGCAGCGATTATGTGGAAGTACCAGTAACTATTATAAGGAAATGCAGTGTTGAATAGCACTGAACATTTTCTTAAAGATGATTTAATCGCAAAAGAGTAAGACAGGGGTTAGTAATGTGGATTGGTTCCATATATCCATTGTTTTTTCTTGCCTAGGGACATCTCTCTCCCTTGCGTGAGAGAGAGAGGTTGTGAGTTGTTAAAATTCAACAGTTTTTCATGATTATTTTTTGAGAAGTAAGGTTGAATACCTTTGTAATTTTGTTTCCCTGAAATGCAATATTAAGCTGCCAGACTGTGGTCAATCGGACCTTCACCAGCAGTGGCGTTACCAATGTTGAGAGTCAGACGGGCACAGCGAAAAGTTTTACTAACATGCATCCGATATTTTGCATCAAACTGGCGATGTAATCAGCCTTTCTGCTACGACTTGGTTAGTTTTATAGCGAAATCACACCAGCGAAATCATTCATAAAAATAAAAAGCCAGAAAAACTTTACACTAGTACACGAATTCAGACGCTCTGGGTTTGACCAGCACACATGCGCTTGTGTGTTGCCTAAAGGGGGTGATTTAGTTGCTTTCAAATAGATCTAACATTAAACCAAATGTTAAGAAGTAATTTGCTAGAAAAATTGACTTGTACTACTTTTTTGATAAAGCAACAGTTGGAAGAGAATTTAATTGAGAAATTTAGTTCATTTAAAAGTGATGTACGCTAATTCCCACTATAGTACGAAACCCCTGAAGCGATATGGTGATGGAAAACATGTATTTCAATGCTTTTGCGTTTCCCCTAGAAACTTTGCGCTCGCTTGCAAAGAACTCAAAAGTTTTGAGAGCGAGTGCACAAACGTTTCTTGGGGAGGTGAAATATCTCACCTTTTCCCTCCCATCTCATATTTTTTCCTTCACCATATCCCTTTAGGGGCTCCGTAGCATCCCTTGTACAACACAGGAAATGCGAGTTGCGTTTAATTTAGCAATCGTCTGCGTTCAGGTATTTGTGTAACTGAACATTGGGCTGCAGTAGTTTGGCCACTGACTTAGTTCTGAGTTACATGATCAAAGAATGGCATTTTAGCCACAGTGCATTGCCATTTTGTGCTTTTTTTTTTTTTGGATGAACATTTTATAATTGGACATATCCAAAGAAATCACTAGGTAGGAGTTGCACAAACAAAATCATTCATATCCTCAACCGGCATGATAACAAAAGGTTTCATAACTGTCCTTGGCTGCCTATTCTCCCGTAGTGTACTAATATCACTTACGTTTCCATGTTCTTATCCGCAATTGAAAATAGAATGTAGCCCAATCCTCTGCTGGCCTGCTGATTGCCTGCTGTGCCGTCTCTATTTCCATGATGAAGTGAATGCTATGCTGTTAACTGTCTGGTACCATCTGAAGACAGGGCTTTAGATTTTAAAAAATAATCCTTATCTGCATATGTACTGTAATGCTGTATTCTTTCTTTTTGGAACTTTTTTTGTGAAAGTTGTCTGCATTTTAACTAATTAAATTATGGGAATTAAAATTACAAAGAATAACAATCTTCTGATGTCCTGTTTTAATTTGTTGGTTGATGTTTTAAAGTTGAAGTGTGTTTTTTTTTGTTTTGTTTTTTTTTTCTTAAAATGCTTTATCTCAACCCAGCTTAATATGGACGGACGCACAGTGCCCGGACAAAAAATAAATAAATAGGAAAAAGTTGCTGTTTGGATTAAAATTGGCAAATGCTTAAAGGAACACTCCGACTTTTTTGGACTTTAGCTTATTCACTGTATCCCCCAGAGTTAGATAAGTCCATACACACCTTTTTCATCTCCGTGCGTGCTGTAACTCTGTCTGAAGCACCCACCGCTAGCCTAGCTTTGCGTAAAAACTGTATGTAAATGGCTACAGCTAGCATAATCCCAATAAGAGACAAACGCAATTTTCCTATTTACATGTTGTGATTTGTATAGTCACAAAGTGTACAAATAACAAGGTCATATGAGACACAGATATCCTTTAACCGTATAAATATTGGGAACTATATTCTCAGAAGGCGAAGCACTGCTAGGTGCTGCGGTTATCACTCCACCCAAGCAGCAGTGCTGCCTTCTGAGAATATAGTTCCTAATATTTATATGGGTAAAAGATGGCTGTGTCTCATATGACTTTGTGATTTGTACAAAATTTCGACCCGAAAAAAAAAAAACGACAGTGGTACCCCTTTCGGTTTTTTTTTCGGGCGAAAAATGAAGTTTCTCCAATCCTCTCAAAACTCTGGATTTTGATAGAGGGCCATGAGACTTAAACCTGAGTGCAAAAATGGAGGCTCTAGACCCTTTCAGAGCTGAGACATCGAAACTCAAAAATTCGGCCCGAAAAAAAAAACGACAGTGGTACCCCTTACGTTTTTTTTTTTTGGGCGAAAAATGAAGTTTCTCCAATCTTCCCAAAACTCTGGATTCTTAAAAAGAGGGCCATGAGACTTAGACCTGAGTGCAAAAATGGAGGCTCTAGCCCCTTCCAGAGCTGAGATATCGAAACTCAAAAATTCGGCCCGAAAAAAAAACGACAGTGGTACCCCTTACGTTTTTTTTTTTGGGCGAAAAATTAAGTTTCTCCAATCTTCCCAAAACTCTGGATTATGATAGAGGGCCATGAGACTTAGACCTGAGTGCAAAAATGGAGGCTCTAGCCCCTTCCAGAGCTGAGATATCGAAACTCAAAGATTCAGCCCGAAAAAAAAAAACGACAGTGGTACCCCTTACGTTTTTTTTTTTGGGCGAAAAATTAAGTTTCTCCAATCTTTCCAAAACTCTGGATTCTGATAGAGGGCCATGAGACTTAGACCTGAGTGCAAAAATGGAGGCTCTAGCCCCTTCCAGAGCTTAGATATCGAAACTCAAAAATTCGGCCCGAAAAAAAAACGACAGTGGTACCCCTTACATTTTTTTTTTTGGGCGAAAAATTAAGTTTCTCCAATCTTCCCAAAACTCTGGATTATGATAGAGGGCCATGAGACTTAGACCTGAGTGCAAAAATGGAGGCTCTAGCCCCTTCCAGAGCTGAGATATCGAAACTCAAAAATTCGGCCCGAAAAAAAAACGACAGTGGTACCCCTTACGTTTTTTTTTTTTGGGCGAAAAATGAAGTTTCTCCAATCTTCCCAAAACTCTGGATTCTTAAAAAGAGGGCCATGAGACTTAGACCTGAGTGCAAAAATGGAGGCTCTAGCCCCTTCCAGGGCTGAGATATCGAAACTCAAAAATTCGGCCCGAAAAAAAAACGACAGTGGTACCCCTTACGTTTTTTTTTTGGGCGAAAAATGAAGTTTCTCCAATCTTCCCAAAACTCTGGATTCTTAAAAGAGGGCCATGAGACTTAGACCTGAGTGCAAAAATGGAGGCTCTAGCCCCTTCCAGAGCTGAGATATCGAAACTCAAAAATTCGGCCTGAAAAAAAAACGACAGTGGTACCCCTTACGTTTTTTTTTTTGGGCGAAAAATTAAGTTTCTCCAATCTTCCCAAAACTCTGGATTCTGATAGAGGGCCATGAGACTTAGACCTGAGTGCAAAAATGGAGGCTCTAGCCCCTTCCAGAGCTGAGATATCGAAACTCAAAAATTCGGCCCGAAAAAAAAAAACGACAGTGGTACCCCTTACGTTTTTTTTTTTGGGCGAAAAATTAAGTTTCTCCAATCTTCCCAAACTCTGGATTCTTGAAAGAGGGCCATGAGACTTAGACCTGAGTGCAAAAATGGAGGCTCTAGCCCCTTCCAGAGCTGAGATATCGAAACTCAAAAATTCGGCCCGAAAAAAAAAACGACAGTGGTACCCCTTACGTTTTTTTTTTGGGCGAAAAATTAAGTTTCTCCAATCTTCCCAAAACTCTGGATTCTGATAGAGGGCCATGAGACTTAGACCTGAGTGCAAAAATGGAGGCTCTAGCCCCTTCCAGAGCTGAGATATCGAAACTCAAAAATTCGGCCCGAAAAAAAAACGACAGTGGTACCCCTTACGTTTTTTTTTTTGGGCGAAAAATTAAGTTTCTCCAATCTTCCCAAAACTCTGGATTCTGATAGAGGGCCATGAGACTTAGACCTGAGTGCAAAAATGGAGGCTCTAGCCCCTTCCAGAGCTGAGATATCGAAACTCAAAAATTCGGCCCGAAAAAAAAACGACAGTGGTACCCCTTACGTTTTTTTTTTTTGGGCGAAAAATTAAGTTTCTCCAATCTTCCCAAAACTCTGGATTCTGATAGAGGGCCATGAGACTTAGACCTGAGTGCAAAAATGGAGGCTCTAGCCCCTTCCAGAGCTGAGATATCGAAACTCAAAAATTCGGCCCGAAAAAAAAAACGACAGTGGTACCCCTTACGTTTTTTTTTTGGGCGAAAAATTAAGTTTCTCCAATCTTCCCAAAACTCTGGATTCTGATAGAGGGCCATGAGACTTAGACCTGAGTGCAAAAATGGAGGCTCTAGCCCCTTCCAGAGCTGAGATATCGAAACTCAAAAATTCGGCCCGAAAAAAAAACGACAGTGGTACCCCTTACGTTTTTTTTTGGGCGAAAAATTAAGTTTCTCCAATCTTCCCAAAACTCTGGATTCTGATAGAGGGCCATGAGACTTAGACCTGAGTGCAAAAATGGAGGCTCTAGCCCCTTCCAGAGCTGAGATATCGAAACTCAAAAATTCGGCCCGAAAAAAAAACGACAGTGGTACCCCTTACGTTTTTTTTTTTTTGGGCGAAAAATTAAGTTTCTCCAATCTTCCCAAAACTCTGGATTCTGATAGAGGGCCATGAGACTTAGACCTGAGTGCAAAAATGGAGGCTCTAGCCCCTTCCAGAGCTGAGATATCGAAACTCAAAAATTCGGCCCGAAAAAAAAACGACAGTGGTACCCCTTACGTTTTTTTTTTTGGGCGAAAAATTAAGTTTCTCCAATCTTCCCAAAACTCTGGATTCTGATAGAGGGCCATGAGACTTAGACCTGAGTGCAAAAATGGAGGCTCTAGCCCCTTCCAGAGCTGAGATATCGAAACTCAAAAATTCGGCCCGAAAAAAAAACGACAGTGGTACCCCTTACGTTTTTTTTTTTTGGGCGAAAAATTAAGTTTCTCCAATCTTCCCAAAACTCTGGATTCTGATAGAGGGCCATGAGACTTAGACCTGAGTGCAAAAATGGAGGCTCTAGCCCCTTCCAGAGCTGAGATATCGAAACTCAAAAATTCGGCCCGAAAAAAAAACGACAGTGGTACCCCTTACGTTTTTTTTTTTGGGCGAAAAATTAAGTTTCTCCAATCTTCCCAAAACTCTGGATTCTGATAGAGGGCCATGAGACTTAGACCTGAGTGCAAAAATGGAGGCTCTAGCCCCTTCCAGAGCTGAGATATCGAAACTCAAAAATTCGGCCCGAAAAAAAAACGACAGTGGTACCCCTTACGTTTTTTTTTTTTGGGGCGAAAAATTAAGTTTCTCCAATCTTCCCAAAACTCTGGATTCTGATAGAGGGCCATGAGACTTAGACCTGAGTGCAAAAATGGAGGCTCTAGCCCTTCCAGAGCTGAGATATCGAAACTCAAAAATTCGGCCCGAAAAAAAAAAACGACAGTGGTACCCCTTACGTTTTTTTTTTTTTGGGCGAAAAATTAAGTTTCTCCAATCTTCCCAAAACTCTGGATTCTGATAGAGGGCCATGAGACTTAGACCTGAGTGCAAAAATGGAGGCTCTAGCCCCTTCCAGAGCTGAGATATCGAAACTCAAAAATTCGGCCCGAAAAAAAAACGACAGTGGTACCCCTTACGTTTTTTTTTTTGGGCGAAAAATTAAGTTTCTCCAATCTTCCCAAAACTCTGGATTCTGATAGAGGGCCATGAGACTTAGACCTGAGTGCAAAAATGGAGGCTCTAGCCCCTTCCAGAGCTGAGATATCGAAACTCAAAAATTCGGCCCGAAAAAAAAAAACGACAGTGGTACCCCTTACGTTTTTTTTTTTTGGGCGAAAAATTAAGTTTCTCCAATCTTCCCAAAACTCTGGATTCTGATAGAGGGCCATGAGACTTAGACCTGAGTGCAAAAATGGAGGCTCTAGCCCCTTCCAGAGCTGAGATATCGAAACTCAAAAATTCGGCCCGAAAAAAAAACGACAGTGGTACCCCTTACGTTTTTTTTTTGGGCGAAAAATTAAGTTTCTCCAATCTTCCCAAAACTCTGGATTCTGATAGAGGGCCATGAGACTTAGACCTGAGTGCAAAAATGGAGGCTCTAGCCCCTTCCAGAGCTGAGATATCGAAACTCAAAAATTCGGCCCGAAAAAAAAAAACGACAGTGGTACCCCTTACGTTTTTTTTTTGGGCGAAAAATTAAGTTTCTCCAATCTTCCCAAAACTCTGGATTCTGATAGAGGGCCATGAGACTTA